GTTTTATACTGATTTCTTAAATAATTTTCAAAATTAAAGTCACAGATAGGAGGCTAATTCATATAGTCCACTGAATATCCAGTATGCGCTTAATATGAAGTATGTTTCAATTCCTGCTAACATGTATGGAATATATTTGTTTTCTGAAATGAGATTTGAAACATTTCTGAAAATATATTCTCTATAGCATTGGGCTTCATATTGATACAGGTAGCCCTCCATGTATGACCACAATTCAGCCCAGAATTTATGTTGCTAAGTGAGAAATTTGTTATGTGAGTTTTGGCCCACTTTATGATTTTCTTGCCACATTTGTTAAATGAATCACTGCAGTTGTTAAATTAGTAATACAGGCTTCCCCATTGACTTTGCTTGTCAGAAGGTCACAAAAGATGGTCACATAACCCCAGGACACTGCAACCGTCATAAATATGAACCAGCTGTGAAGCATCTGAACGTAAATCACATGACCATGGGAATGCTGCAATGGTGAAAAATGGTCATAAGGCACTTTTTTCAGTGCCATTGTATATTTGAATGGTTACTAAATGAACTGTTGTAAGTTGAGGACTACCTGTAATTAAATTTGCCTCTTTTCTCCTGGTCACTGGCCTTTTCTCTCTCATCCCCTAACACAAAGTCGATCCAGATGCATACAGATAATGTATTTGCCAGTTACATGCTGTCTACCTTTGTACACAAAAGAGCACAAAACAGTTTGTCTGCCAGGATATTGAATAGCTTTCACTTGAAACTACAGGCACGTTGTTTATAGTCTGTATTTTAAAACAGCATTTTAGCCAAGAAGACTGTGACAGTGAAGCAGTTTTCTATAATTTCTTCCAAGCCAGCTGATTGACAATATCATTTATTTTTTTCTTTCATTTATTTATATTCCACCTTTATTATTTTTATAAATAATTCAAGGTGCCAAACATAACCTAATACTCCTTCCTCCTCCTATTTTTCCCAAAACAGCCCTGTGAGATGAGTTGGACTGAAAGCGGGGGACTGGCCCAAAGTCACCAGCTGACTTTCATGCCTAAGGTGGCATTAGAACTCATGATCCTCTGGCTTCTAGCCTGGTATCTTAACCGCTAGACCAAATTGGTATACAGTAAAGTAGTCAAATAGCCTTCACATCTAGTGGTTTCATGCCCATAATGATTCTTTGTCTAAAGTCCAGAAATGGTTTGCCATTTTTTTACTTCCCAATTGACCTATAAACTTGGTGGTGATTCAAACCTAACTCTGCTCGGTCTTTTCAAGATCATCAAGATGTCAAGGTTCTGACAGACAGAGACAAATAAAGCAGAACTCCGAGGCTTGAATAACAATTCCCCAATACAAAGTTAAAAAATCCCACCTCTAATGCTAATGCTATGCAAGCAACTGTGTTTCCCCATATAGCTTGTTGGTGGGCTTTTCATGAAACGCCCAGCCCGCAGTCTTGGGAGCAGTTGATGACCTTGGTTCCCATGAGAGGAAGTCCGAGAGAGACAGTCTGTTTTGTCTAGCACAGTGATGGTGAACCTTTTAGAGACCAAGTGCCCCAAAACTGCCCCACCCCCGCTCTGTCTCCCGCCCCTCAGGGCCACCCACTGCTTCCACGGCCCACCGCAGATGGCCCAGGCAACCCAGCATCGCCATGGCCATGGCCTTTGCCCGCGCCCCGCAGCATCTGCGCGCAACGGAGCGCAAGGGCGGAGTCTTGTCCCCGCTGCAAGGTTGCCATGTGCTTGGCTGCACTGCTCGGTGCGGGCCACATCTGGGGGGGGGACTCTCCTCCAGGGAGGCTGCTGGTGAAGAAGGGGCTGCAGGGGGAGGCAAGGCTGGGGTGACGGTGCACGTGTCCACAGAGAGGGCTCTGAGTCCCATCTCTGGCACGCGTGCCATAGGTTCGCCACCACTGATCTAGCGCAATGCCTGGCAATGCCCTTCCCTCTGTACCATGTGTCAACTAGAAACGAGAAGGAAAACATGGCTGCAGCCATGCTCATTCTTGACACAAGAAGGGAAAAGATCTGAAGTCCCTAATCTTATTTAGCCATTGCATTTGCTATTTAATATATATATTTTAAAAGGGCTTGAGACTTTCAACATACTAAATGCTAAAAATAGGTACCCCCTCCCATCTAGCATCCCTTCAGTATAAAAGCAAGTTGTCTCACTTTACACTACCCATTAACTGTATTTTTATAAACAAATAGTTCCCTGTAATTGTTTACAGTAGAGCAGATTGCATCCACTTTCCTGTTTACATCTCCCCTTTTCATGCAGTAGATAAAGTTGGAATCAAGCCAGCTCTATATTACAAGATAGTAAATGATGGAATACACCCTCAGTTCCGCTGCTGCTTAGTTGCCACCCAACCTGAAAGAACATTGGTGCCATCTAAAGGCAAAGTGTGCTAGCTACTTCTAAAAAGAAAGTATTCTGTACTGTTATTTAAATAACTACATGTCTACTCATAACACTGCGATGACAGTATGTATAATGCTGCTTCTCAGGATAAGCACTCTTTGCACACAGAAAAAGAGCTCGAATCAGCAAAAGAAATAAACACCATGAAACAAGAAAAAGTAACATAAATATAGTTAAATCCTATAATTAAATCCACCCCATGGAAGCCAGTTTGATCTAAAGATTATGGTACCAGGCTAGAAAGTGGAAATTTCTGAGTTGTAGTCCCGCCTTAGCCATGAAAGCCAGTTGGGTGGCCTTGGGACAATCATCCTCTCTCAGTCCAACCCACACAACAGAGTTGCTGTTGTGGAGAAAATAGGAGAAGGAAGAAGTGTTGGATATGTTTGCCACCTTGAGTTATTTGTAAAAATAATAAAGGCAGGATACAAACAAAGAAACAAACTAGTAAATAAAATCATACCATCCCTGGCTCTGACCTTGATGGCCCTTCAGGCTTTTCCATCTGCCTGGCCAGGAAATCAGAGGGTGCTATGAGGCCCATAAAATGGCTGTCCAATACTCTTCTTGAATGGATGTGCTCTCCTTGGTGACTGTACTGTATAGTTTTTAATTATTTTTATTTAAATTGTATTGCTTCTATGGCTGCTTTATTTTTTGATGTTTTGTTATTGTTAAATTGTAAGCCATCATGTCATGAATGTGTGATTAGTAGCTATATAAATTGATTGAATAAATAAATCCAGTTTAAACTAATATTTATTATTCTGCTCCATACCTTTAAATCCCTGCAAACTACCCTTGCTTTCATCCATCCATCCATTTTTCTATCTCCTTCCTACACTTTTTGTCTCTTTAATTGTCATTGTTTTTCATCATTTCAAGGCTGCCATAAATCAGAACGCACATAGTCTTCTCTTTCCTGATCTCTTTGCTTTTCTTTGTGATTTGATCTTCATTCATTACTTCTGTGGGACTAAACTATCCCAATCTACTTCTTTTTTACTCCTTACTTACTCATTCATTCAGCCCCCAATGCACTCTGAACCCAATTTCTTATTTAGCCACATTTCCTTCTTAAGTATCCCATTATATATATATATATATATAGGGATGGAAAACCTGCTGGGTTACTTTAGGCCAGTCACACTCTCTCAGCCAACCCATCTCGCAGGCTTGTGGGGAAAATAGGAGGAAAGAACATTGTGTATGCTGCGTTTGATATAAACCGAAGAAATCAATATTTTGTCTGATATACTCAACACTCACTTCCTATAATAAAGTGGGCAGAAATATTATGCTTTTATACAAATCCATTGGTGTTTCTTTCAACCAATAGTCATTTTTCAAAGAGACCATATTACCTGCTACTTTTCCATCAGCATTTGTACCCACTTTCTTATTTTTAATAAACCTTCTACCAACATAAGCACATTCTCAGGGAAAGGGTGAGGCTCTACCATTTATTTATAACTTGGAATCATTATCTCCATTTTCCCTGTCAAACTTAATTGCTTTGGAGCTTGATACAATAATTTTCAGATCTCTACCCCATGTTGTATCATATAATCTACTGCAATCTACTATTTGCTACAAACCATTTGGATTCTCTACATACAAAAGTACACTTACCATCACATTCAAAATATACTTTTAACATAACCACAAACATCCATGTATTACACGGGTGTCAAACTCGCCACGTCATGTGACGTGTTGCGACGTATCACGACTCTTTGCATTGCTGGCAATGGGGTGGGTGCGGCTTCGATATGATGAAACTGGCCTGCAGGCCGACAGTTTGACACCCCTGATATATTGTATGTTGTCAGCCATTCAGCCATCTCCGATCTTTGACCGCTTTATAGCTCAGCATTGTACTTTTATACATAAATACATTAAAACTCCAAGAGGACATCATACGTCCCTTATCCTTGTGTCTGCTTTATTTTGTATTTAGCAAACCAACCTTCAACTCAGTTTCATCTGCAGGAAATAATTATGATATCAAAACAATTATATGTATGTGGTGATGCCGACATGCAAATACCATTAAATACTTAACAATCTGTCATCTAAAACCAAGAAGTTAAGTCTTGTTATTTGAGTAATGACATCCTCGTGCCCATTCTGACATTGCATTTGCCTATATTTAGGCAAAATACTATTCTTCACTTATTTCTCAATAGCCTGTTGAAAAGCAAAACTAATGTAGCATAAAGCCCCATTGCACTTTGTAAATTTTGCTCATTGTAGTCTCTGCTATTCACTCCATTAGAATTCTACCAAATGTTTTCCTAGGGCAAACTAACCCATCTGTAGTTTTTGCTTTCACTCGTTTTAGCTTGTCCTTTTTTGGAGGAAAACAATAACTATATTATTTTCCAGTCCTGAAGCATGGATGCAAGCTTTACGCCCGGTTGTACAGCCTTTCCACAAGTAACTTTTGCAGAAGTGTTATGTGAACATTAACAAACTTTAACATTTCTTCAGTTGCATGCTTTTTGCTCTTCTGTCAGGCTTCACCTGACAGGCACTCAGGAATCAAATACATAAGGATAACAGGACTCATGAACTGCAGTTAAATTAGTTTATTGTACAAGACACAGTAATGTCATTACAAAATAATTTTGGCAATTGCTGTTTTTTTCCAAACCAGCCCCAATATTTACATAGTCACTGATCTATCTCGCTGATTGTCCTCCACTACCTTCAAGCAACTGATAATATTGCATCTCCTTTTCAATAGGAGGCCCAATTTCTATCTGTCTCTTATTTAAATAATATTGAGTCGGGATGTGAGATTTCTCCTTCATTTCTGGGAACTGCTTCTTATACCTGCAGCCTCACCAGTATTGTGCGTCAGTTCTTTCTGAGACACAAACAAGTTTTGCATTTAATTTCTTTTTCATGTCATTCCAGCATTCTCTAATTTCACTTGCATCCTAAACCATTCCATCCCCTTTATTTTTAATTCCCATTCCTCTGCTCAAGGCTTCTTGTTTAGTGCTCTTTATGTTTACATCAAACTACCTCTACCTGATTTTCTTGAGATCTTAATCATTCTTTTTGTTGACTACATCTTTGCAACTATCTTTCTAGCCCTATACATAGTGTTCGATATCTTTCTTTCATTCTCCTTTTTGCAACAGTTATTCTATTACAATTGATGCATTTTTTTTTCACATCCACAGCCTCTTTTACTTCATCACTCTACTGAACATTTCCTTTCTATATTTTCTGATAACAGAATGTCAGCAGTTTTCACAACCTCTTTTGTCTTTCTGTTTATTGTGTTGGGAGGATAATCTAATACATTTCGTACATGAGTTATATTTTTTTTCTTATATTATTCTTTCAAGATCCATTCTTGACAGCACCAAATAAAGGACTGCTCTCACATTCAGAATATCTCATTATCCTGCACTAATTCTGTTTTTTGATTCATTCCTTTTCTGTGTGTATGGATGAATGGACTTAGTCAAAACAGACCTTTCATTAAGCAGATACTCCCCAATGAGTCACTGTTCTCACTTACTCCTGAGCCTCCAAATGGCAGAATTACTTTTTCTGAGATCTGTCATCTTGTTCCATTCATCCATTCACATCACCTAGGTCCTAGCAGAATACATTTTCCCTGGAAACACATTCATGCCGAATGTTAGACCGTTCTCTCCCAAACAACTTCCAGTTCTTTCATTACCCCATTCACTGAAACGTAAGATGTAGTTAACACCAGTTGCCAACCTATGCATTTCTACTTTCATAGGTACTCACAGTAGCACCAGTTCATATTTTCTGACCCAAATGTCATTTATATTTAAATCTAAACTTTCCCACCCCTGCATGTCCTCAATTGCATTCCACGAAATCAGGCTTCTTCATGCAGGTCTGTTACATCCTTCCCCTTTCAGTTTCCCAGATGCATATCTATTTTATTTCATTTATTACATTTAATTTATAATATTTTCTTCTTACAAATCTTCTATATGGCTTGGTTATCAACCAGATGGGCCAACCCTGACCTCTACCACCCATCATGGCTTTGATCAATCTCATAATGTTTTTCAGCCAACAATGTGTAAATTAGGTTACCAGTCTTAGACATATTTGTGCCATATGTAACTTTCCCTACTTACGATATGGAGAGTACTGGCAATTGAGAGTTTATAAAAATCTTATTTCATGTATCCAATCTCTGTGTGAGTGAAAATCCAATTCTCAGTATTATGATCACGATTGCTTACAAACAATCATGTCTTTCAGGAGTCTTTTGTCTTTTATCTCTTTGGATTGCTTTGATAATGGGACTGCATATATTTAGCTGCCCTATTTTACCTTTGACAGTGACTTAATGTATTGTGCGAATTCAGCTATTCTGGATTTAAAAATGTATTAATGGAGTCTTATATTTTGTAAACTCAGTTAACTGTGGCTTGGACAAGCCATGGTTAAATCATGGCCTGTGTGAAACTGATGCCATTCTTGAGTCTAGTCATAAAGGTGCATTGATGAGGGCAGATGTAGCTGTGGAGAACATCTAGCACAGCTAGATTCTTTCTCCTGTGGTTATATAATGTTTATTAATTATTAATATTAAAAAAGCAGCTCAGTTAATGGAGTATTTTGCCAATGCCTTTATAAGAATGGCTATCCTAAAATAACCAATTTTAAATTAATTACCATAGTAGAATAATAGAAGATAAGCTAGTACTTAATATTTTCAAATATTGATTATTATAATATTATGCTATTTAATATACCAGATAAAATTTATAGAAACAGATATACTAGATAAAATGTATGGGAAAAAAATCTGAGAATGATCTTTTCAATTTTGGATATATTCTACTATTAAAAAACCCACTGCAAGTTCTTTATAAAAAATAAAAACATACTTTACAAAATCAGCACATTGCAATGATGATTCATAGTCCATTTCTAATTTTAAATCGTCTACATTAAATCTGGAATTTGATTTAGCTTTTATTTAACGAATGTAGTCCCAATACCTGAATTTAACAGCTGATGGTGTTTGTTTATAAGAGTTAGTTAGATGCCAAGGAAGTATGAATGGCAAAAAAGAAATGTTTGTTGAATACTATCCTGCATCCTTCCCTTCCTCTCTGAATGAATACTTAATGTTTCTTTTGTCACTTGCAGAATATATTTTATTTTAAAAGAGCGTTTGTTTAAAAATATATTTCACAAATATATATATATACAAGATCCTCAGGTAACTGCTTTGATTAATTTGAAAGAATTTCCATCACGCTTGATTGCAAAAGATAAATTAAAAATTCATAGGATAGTGGGCTGGGAGAAAAATTCCCAAATTGCAGTACATGTTCACCTGTATAGCAATTTTACTTATTTTCATATGCCATGACTTTTTCCCCAGAGCCTCCCTATTACAGATCCCATCTCAGGTCCCCTTCCAGAGAACTAAAATTCTCAGAGTTTCCTCTAAGGCAGAGATCTCCAACATTTTTGATTTAGCTGCCTGGAAAGGGAGGCAGGCATAGCTACGTGCATGCACAAAAATGAGCCCTGTGCACACACACAAATGGCTGAGCGTGAACGCCTGTACACATGCAAACGGCCGCACTCGAGCGCCTGTATACATGCAAAAAGGGCTGTGCAGGTGCAAGTGCTGCAAATGGGGCGGCACTAGTGCTGGCGGAATGCTATGGGCGGCACTAGTGAAAGTGGGACGCTTGGGGGAGGAGCGGCGCTAATGCCGGTGGGATGTTCGCGGGCGGGACGGTGCTAGTGCCGGTGGGATGCTCAGAGCGGCGCCAGCGCAGATGAGTGCATGCATGTGTGCGCATGCACTGGCCATCCCTTCATGCGGCCTGGTGGCCAAGCGGCCGTGGCCCAGTAGTGGGCCACAGCCCACAGGTTGGGGACCCCTGCTCTAAGGGGAAATGACTTTAGGTTAAATAAAGTTCTGCAGCAACTCCTCACAATGTTAAAAGGGATCCAAAGGCAAATTAACCCTGCTTCTTAACATGAAGCAGGATCATAAATCCTAGAGTCCTTACAGCTCAAGCAATAGCATTTCGGCTTATATACTGCCCCATAGTGCTTTACAGCACTTTCTGGGCGGTTTATAATGTAGAAGCCTTATTTGCATATTGACCCCAACAATCTGAATCCTCATTTTACTAACGTTAGAAGGATGAAAGGCTGAGTCAACCTTGAGCCCTGTCAGGATCGAACTCCAGCTATGGGAAGAGTTTGCCTGCAATATTGCACTTTAACCACTGCACCACCAGGACTTCTGGTCTGTGCATCAAAAGCCTTGCAAAAATTGTGCCTATCCAGAAAACAGCAGCAAGAAACCTTGAGCTGTGTCCCACGCTTAACACGAGGGGTACTTAAGCAGAGATTATTTAATGGCCCCAATGGACGTTTGCTATGTATGATACACATTACCCTGCAAGAAAAACGATACCCCAAAAAGAACAGAAGGGGAACAATCTAAAAAAATATTTCCCCTACTGCCTACCTGCATGAAAAATGGAGATTTTACTGATGCAGCTGGCATGAAAAGCAGGAGGTCAAAAGCATGGCATTTGTACCATTCCTATCCTAGGTTGGCATACTGCCACCATAAACATCAGATTGAGCCATTTAAAAAAACATAAGAATCTTATCTTTTCTCATTTGGAGACTGCCTTCTCCTCCTCCTCATACCCAGGCAAATGCTCCCACTAATTTGCACTGATGGGGCTGTGTTTTAGAAAGCATCTGCCGCGTTTGCCAGTGTGACCATCACAGCCTCGAGATGCTTGTGGCAGACATAGGCTATAAGCCCTCCTTGATTTGCCCAGCGCTCAGCACCCACAGCGCCCTCTATGGGCTTGTTATAGGTCAGTTCGGGCAAATTCTTGTGTTGCCCAGCACGCCAAACCTGCAGGGCTGCTGAAAGATCAACGATGCCTCCCCCAAGGGCTCGCAGAATGGCATGGGGGCCACACGAGTCCCACTTGAAGGTGCTGCCTTCTGAAAGTACATAAGCATCAGCAAGGCCGAGAGCAACACAGAGCATCTTGTAGCCGGCACCTGAAGCAAAGCAGAGCTTCTCACCGTATAGTGGGGCCAGTGCTTTCCGCAACACGGTTGTCTCGTTGCTGCTCAGCACCACGCAGGGGGAAGGCTGCTGCTGGGGTTGGCTCAGCGAGCTTAGCTTGGTGCTTCCGTAGGAAATGCCCCAATGGTATTTGCTCTGCCACCTGCCAAAGAGAAAGGTTCAGGGTAGCTGTGCTAGGAAAAGCCCCACCATTATATAATGTTAAGAAGACAGAGGTGACCCGGCAGTTACTCATTCTCAGCCCAACCTACCTCACAGGACTGCTGTTGTGGGGAAAGTAGAAGGAAGGAATATTAGATATGTTTTCCATCTTGAGTTATATGTTAACATGGCAGAATAATATAAAGACAGCAAAAATAGTATGAGTAATAATAGGCGCCTTGAGTGCAATCCAAAGGCCTGTGAAGCACCACTTGAACACTATCAGCATCGACTAAATCAGTCAACTGTAAAAAGCAGCTTTACATGGAACAGCTTAAATCCTGCAATGGCACCTTTAACACCATCCGACAACATCTGCCTACTCCAGGTCCTTGGAAGGACTCAACAGGTGGATAAAAATGCCAAATCCAGTCTTAATATCTGGCGGACTGTGCAACCAACCATAATGACAATTATACTGAGAAAAACCCTTGAGGGAATTGGTGATTGAGGTGGCTGTCAATATTGCACAAGGAGAATGCAAGGATTGGAAGAAGCAGTGCTTTTGCTTAGTTGGAAAAGGGGAGTTGGGACAGGAAGAGGGACAAATCTTTTCGGAGTCAAAGAAAAGGAAACATTACAGGAACCACTTGCTAGAGTATTTTTATACAATAACTGATTTTTGTGGCAGCTGTGCTAAACCTATGGCAATGTGTGGGCCATTCCTTAGGTGTAGCAAAAGGCAAATATTTTAAAAGCTCTGAAAAGCCCAAGGAAGAATGTTCATTTGAGCTTCCCTTTCTTTCCCCCCCACACCGCATCTTATACCAATATAACTCTTGTATCCATTGTTTTATGCCCATTGAAGCCATAGTAAACAAGAGCATATGTTGTGAGCAATATAAAATACTGTTATACTTCCTGGGATTACATTTTGATTCATTTGTCTCCTTTGAATGAAAAATATTGATTCGTCTGATCATTTCAAACGGATTGTTCTCTGGATAAGCCCGTCTCTATAAATGGAGCCTGCGGTAATTTTCCCCTCTAAAGTCTATGACTGGATGGCTTCCCTTGGCAGGCATGCGCCCACATCAGGGGTAGGCAACCTTGGCTCTTTTATGACTTGTGGACTTCAACTCCCAGAATTCCTGAGCCAGCCATGCTGAGGGGACAGGGCAAGGTTTCCATGCTGAGCGATGTTGGCTCAGGCATTCTGGGAGTTGAAGTCCACGAGTCATAAAAGAGCCAAGGTTGCCCACCCCTGTGCTAGATCATCAGGCAACTCAAGGGCAGTATAAGGGAACAGAAACAGTTCCAGAACAACCATGTAACCTTGTACTAAGTCTGTGTCAACTATACAAGGTAGATCAGACTAAGAAACCAATGCCAGATAGAACGAATCTTATTGTTACAGATATAGCAAGCAAGCTTTGCAAGTCTAAATGTGCTCCCCTCCCTGCCTTTTATCTGTATGAACTAAGGAGGGACTTATGTGAAGACCCAAAGATGCTTTTTCATGAAGCAACTGGACTTTCTTGGTTTTTTTGAAGACGTTTTGCTTCTTATCCAAGAACTTTCTTCAGCTTCTTGGATGAGAAGTGAAATGTCTTCAAAGAAAAACAAGAAAGTCCAGTTGCCTCGTGAAAAAGCATCTTTGGGATAACTATGACCTGGATGACTGAGAATCTCCATAGTTACTTATGTGAAGCATTAGTTTCTCAAAATTGGCTCAAGCTGCACTTGTCTGGTCATTACCTTGATAACAGCTATTCCCCTGTCTTTCAAAGCCATTTTCTAGGCCGGGGATGGGCAGCTATGACCAGTGGACTTCAGCTCCCAGAATTCCTAGGGCAGAGATGGGCAATTATGGTTCCTTTACGACCTGTGGACTTTAACTCCCAGAATTCCTGGGCTAGCTCAGGAATTCTGGGAGTTGAAGTCCACAGGTCATAAAGGAGCCATAGTTGCCCATCTCTGCCCTAGGCCCTCTTCAGTCTGCTTCATCTTTCGTCTCCATCTATGTTGATGTACCATAAAAAGAACAGGAGAATTCCAGGGCTAAGTCCTTTATAATTGGTGGGAGAGCCATCGTGGTCCATCTAGGCAAGACTGAGCCACAATGCTATTATTACCTGTGTGCTGGCAGCTCCTCCTGGAAAAAAGGCTCATTGATGATGCCAAGGACGGGCTCACCCGAGTGACGGTTGTATACTCCTATCAGCACAAGCGCTGAGTGAAGTCCAGATGGATAGATGCCATTCACTGGCATCACACTGCCATACCCACGAATGTACTGATTAGTGGAATCTGAAAAGGAAGTAAGAAAGGGAGAATTTCTTCACTCCTTCAGCAAGACTCCACATCAGAACAATACATGTCAGAATGCCTACTAGAATAGACTTTAAAAGTAGTATCAAGGTATATTGGATACAGGCTAGGAAATGACACCTGGAAAGACAGAATATCACAATTGGTTAGGAACCAGACTGGATGTGAGAGTCCTCAACTCTCTTTTATATATTCCAGTCTATGCCACATACGGGTAGCTCTCAACTTACAACAGTTCATTTAGTGACCCTTCAAAATTATAATGTCACTGAAAAAGCGACTTGTGACCGTTTTCCACACTTATGATTGTTGCAGCATCCCCATGGTCAAGTGATCAAAATTTGGACGCTTGGCAATTGACATTTATTTATGATGGTTGCAGTGTCCCTGGATCATGTGATCACATTTTGCAACTTTCAGACAAGCAGAGTCAGTGGGGAAACCAGATTCATTTAGCAGTGAAGCTATGTTGCTGACTGAACAACTGCAGTGATTCATTTAACAATCGTGGCAAGAAAGGTTGTAAAATGGAGCAAAATACCCTGGACAATGGTCTCGTTTAGCAACAAAAATGTTGGGCTCAATTGTGGTCATAAGTCGAAGACTATCTGTATACAAAACTCAGCACTAGAGAAAGATCATGTAAATGGCTTCCGATGCTCAACCTTCATCTGCCGTTCTATTTACCTATGGGGTCAATCCATACAGCCAAGCTGTCGGTCGAGAAGGTCACAGCCACATTGTCCAACGCTGGGTCGGAAAGCACGACTTCCTGATGAACAGCAGCTGCCAACAATTCAGCAGCTGTTTGTTTCCGATCCAAGACTTTCTGCAACAGGGTAGCCGTTTCCTGTTGGGTAGGGCAAACCCGCACCACTACAATCTCACCTGCAAAGGCAAATAAAGATCAGAGATTGTTCAAGAGGTCCCTCTACTGATCAAGGGGATCTTTCACATTTATTCTCAACGAGTCTTGTATGTTAGGCAAGCAATGGGAATTATTTTAATGCCACACTTCTTAGACTGTTCTGAGAGGAATTCTTAAAGCTTCATTAATAGCTTATCAGAGGCTCTCTAAGAATGCCCATAATGATGGAGAAGCTTCCTTGAGATATGGCTTGTCCTTTTTCACCACAATCTGTGCTACTACAGTCACACGAAGAAAGATTGGGTGAGATGTAGGATATATACTTTTAGCTAGTCAATCTCAGTTTACAACTGGGTTAAACAGTAGCGTAGCCCGATTTAGGAGAAAGACAGCCTGGGAGTGGAGTCAAGAGAGGAATCAAGCAGTTTAAGTCCAACTCCTCTTGAATTCTTATCTAGCATCAATTTAGTGCTGATGGTTAGTTGACTACTAGATTCTTGTATATAGGCACAAGCAATAAATCAGCTTAACTGGAACTGAACACGTGGTCTTGATTTTTCGCACCCGACACCCAGGATGGTTTACATCAATAATATTTATCTTTAGTTTTTTAAGATGTGACTTAAAAAAAGAGAAATGAGATAATCAGATGTAACAGCATGCAGGATTTCTGCTCTTCTGACAAACACTTAAAAGAAGGAAGGTGCAGTATTTTTTGGTAGTAAAAAATACTATTGATAATTTCCTCTACTCCAGAGCAATGAAAAAACCTACAGGAGCTTTTCCCTTTTTTGCCCTTATAGGGCAATCTGCCACTTAGCACACTATAAAAATATTACTTTACCACTAACAATTATCCCACCCAATACAGGCATTAGACATATTCACTGTGAGTGAATAATGGAAGTTATAGCAGTTTAATTCATCTGAAGGTCATTAACATGAAGAAGACTTGTCATAGAAAGGAAAATAAGGAAATGGCTATGCATTAGAAGGAGAAAAAAAAATCCTGGCACCAGGCATTTGATTGTATATTTAATGTGACAGCTAACATTTTAGGGCATGTTCCTCCTTCATATGATACTCCAATATGTCTAGTCAGTACTCTTCCTGAAATAAAAAGTCTCCTAAAATATTTTCTCCAAGTCTCTCTTGCAATCTTCTAGGATTCTTATAAAGAGCAGACATCTTTGTAGGGACAAAGCTTGCAAGAAGCCATCAGAGTAAGCCTAGGACAGATGATGGAAATATTTCTCTGACGAAAATGGAGCTGGAAGCGGAAGGATGACTTGATTAATCGAAAAGAGGATCAAGCATGTCAGAAGGGTAACCTGGCCATATCTAACTTCCACTAGAGGTAATGGGGCAAGAACTCACAAAATTCTTAGCCAGTGTGCCAGAAGGAAATTTTAATCCCACACATCTGGAAGGAGTCCAGTTGGGGAAAGTTATTTTAGAGAATACGCTGGTATTTTCTCCTCTCTGTGCTGATTACTCACCAAGGCCATTTTCAAATTTGTTGGACTCCTCGCCACAAATGTGATCCTGTAGTTCTGGAAACTGTGAACAACAGTGAGAAGGGGTAAGGAAAGAAAAGTGGAATGAGGAAAGCACACCTTAACCAAGCTGACAAGTCTGATCCAGGCTACAGCTATTTTGGGCTCAATGATTCTACCATGTCCCATTTCAGGTTGATCCTCTGGATGAGGAGACAACTGCATGCCACATCAGTCCCAGGCAGTTTGGAGTCCTGCTCTTGGCATCTCACTTCAAAGTGAGCGAGGACTGAAGAATAATAATCTCAGCTATAACCATTTTAGTTCAACCAGGAATGTAATGTTCTCTTAAGCAGATCAGCATATCTAAGCCTTTACTGCAGGGGTATCAAACTGCCGGCCCACGGGCCAGATGCGTCACGACGAAACCATGCCCACCCCATTACCGGCACTGGGGAAAAAGCTCCGATACGTTGCGCGATGTCACGTGATGTCACGAGTTTGACAGGTCTGCTTTACTGCCTCCACTCTGATGTAAGAATAATGCAGGCCAACTTTACATGGTTATTTGAGGACTGAGAAATGATGTGTGAAGAATTTGGGAGAACATGAGAACAGCTATTGCACTCAATATTGCTCCTACTTTTGCAAATGCAATAGGTTTAGCTATTGCTTTCTGTTGCTATTTGTCTTTGGAATAAAACACTTTAGAATATAAGAGTTTAGAGTAAATAGAAAAGCCCCTTTGAGTGATATTGGAGAGGAAAAGAGCTTAAATCCTCTATGATCCAGCCCAATCTTCTATACAACACCTTCTTATGCTTCTCACTGCATAGAGAACCCCCAAGCAGCTACCTCTTTTCCCACGTCATGTTTGATGACTTCTTGGATTAGCACATCTGCCAATGTCTTGAAGTCCTGTAAGAACTTCTTATTCTTGTCTGCACCTCTCTTCTCCTCAATGAGCAGGCTGAAGAGGGCCTCCTCTTGGCGACATAGCTGGGCAATGTGGGCAGCTTTCTCTGAGGCAGCCAGCAGGCTCCTCAGAAGAGCTGACATGCTCTAGACAGAGAAAAGAGAAAAGGTTTTGTGAGAAAATGCACAAAAAATATTCACAGACGAAACCCTACATTAGCTGAGGAACACTATTGGGCAGTGGGGAGGAGGCAGTGATACCAAGATCTTGTGTGCGATAATGCTGGGATAGCAACAGGAAATTGCATATGAAAGAGCAAGGAAATTCCCACAGAGGAAGAGTTAATACATAAAATATTAGCATGTGCAGAAATGGACAGGCTCACAATGATATTAAAAGACAAATGTGGATCAGTTTATTATGAAACCTGGGATAAATTTTACCGCTGGAGGAATTTGAAGAGGACAGTCGGGATTAAAGATGAATGTTAAGATAGAAATATATGTTATTTTAGAACAAGTATTGTATATAAAACTTAATGTAAATGTAGAGATGAAGAATTGATTGTAAAAAGTGGAATAATCTGATAAGAATGTATATACTGGAATGTCATGTTAAATCCAATGTTTGTTTGTTTTTAACTGTATTATAAATAAAATTTGTAAAATAAAAAAAGGAAATTGCATATGAACTGTCAGGCGTTTTTGTCACTATTTTAAAATTAATAAAAGAACAAATTACATTTGTAAGCTGCTCAGAGTTACCTGGTGTAAGATGGGTGGCCAATAAATTTTACAAAGAAACAAAGAAACAAAATATTTTAACTAGAATGAAGGGATCTAACAGATGGCAGCTCCCAGCCCTCATCTTTTCCCCTGACCCCCCCCCAAAAAAAACCTGAGCTGAGTCAAACCTTATTAGACCTTGGATTGAAAACTACCAGGATATATTAGGAAACTGGACAATCATCCTTGAAAAAGGTAGTGGTTGATCAATTTTGTATTGCTGCCAAGAACTTGAATGTTACCAGCATCAACATCAGGATGTGGGAGTTTTTATTAATCAAACAGAAAAATCTTCTTTGAAAGTGAAATGTTGACAATTTCGTTTATTGTTGGGAATATGTGAGGCAATACATTTATGTATTGATTTTGCCTTTATTAACTGAATGCAAAAGAAAAAAAAATACAGAGCAGTTTTTTTTTGGGGGGGGATTCCAAATGAAAATAAAGGAACAATAATAGATTCATATTGAAAAACTCAGCTTCCTAGTTTAATGGGGTAGGGAGTAAGATTTGCTGAGTATAGTAAAGTGATTTACTTTTTAGTTACTGTATTTTTTTCTAGGTTTATAAATATATAATAGCAAAAAGAATCTACCTATTACAAAGAGGACAAGAAATCTATTGTTAATCTCTGGATGATTTGCTCTCAGCTGATAAGATTTTCTAAGCTCTGTTTAATAACTGCAATTATATTCTCCTGTTTTCATCTTACAGCATACAGCTGAAATAAAGATTGGAATAACTGGGAACTGATATTTTTGCTGAGAATTCCATTTTCTTCTGCTACTCAGAACTAACTCTTGGATTTAAAATGCTTCAAAACTCATGGCTTTTCTGCTTGACTTAGTGGGTTCCAAAACTCTTAATTTCAAATGAAAGGAAGGGCAAGAGAAAGGAATGTCCTACCAAACTGTTTTCCCTGGCTATTGTACCCGGCATCATCCACTTCAGATTGTACAGACTTTTTTACCTGCTACTGTACTCAAGATACCGTAGCTCTATAGCCCATCCCTTTAGTCCTGCTGGCTGGAGATTATAGGCCTTGAGGCCCAACACTTCTGAGGCCACCAAATTGGGAAAGGCTAGTATTATGGCCTAATTTTATATCCTCATTTTTGATATTTATATTTATCTCCCTTTTACCTGTAAGCAGCTCAAGGCTGTCTTTACCCCCAGTAATCATGTAAAGAAAAAAAGGCCAATGGATAGTAAACAGCTGAAGGCCACCCACTTAGCAGGGCTGAGAGTGAAGTTCTACCTATCTCAGTCTCTAGCCAACGCACAGCCACAGAGTCCCATGAGTCAACTTTTAACAACTTGGTGCGGGCAAACTATATGTTCATTAATCCCTTAAGTAAGACTACAACCTAGGGCCGGGTCACAACATTTTGGCACCAGAGGAATGGACCACAGACCCATTCTCATCCCCTCCCTTGGGCCAAAGCTGGCAGGGATCTGCGTTGTGGCTAGATCCGAGCAAAAAACGGTCCACATAGTAGTGGTGCTCCACCGCAGGAGACAAATAAGCAGCAGGGCCTGACTGAGGGAGAAGATCGGCGTCTGAAGAGCCACACGGCCTCCTAAAGAATCTGAGCAGCGGCCTACCTGTGCGTGTGGATTCAGACGAGCAGCAGCGGGGGGGGGGGAGGAAACTACCTGAGATGGCGGGGTGCTCGCCTCCCAGGGTGCCAGAAAGGCATGGAAGAGGCTCCTTTTCACGCGTCACCCTCCCTGCCTAAATCCTCCCATCCCCGCCCCAGTGCAGCGCCCCACCATCTCTGCGTCTCGAGCAGAGAGCACACGCAACCCACTCCACTCCGCGGCTTCGGTGGGGTTAGGGGAGCTTTCCCTCCCCGGCACCGGACGCGGAAAAGCCAGGCCACAATAACGCCATCGCTGCCGGTGGCAGAAATTTAACAGCGCGTTGTTCTGCCCCGTTTGGCCGCCTCCGAGCTGGGCGGTGAAGCGATCTGCCACCCAAGCCAGTCCTTCACTCACGGTTCTCTATAAACTCCGATCAGTTGGGGGGGGGGTCAATCCAAGAGTTGTGGGGGGGAACCAAACAACACGCTCTTTCCTTGCTTCCTTGCCGGACCGTCTTCTGGCTGGGGTTGGAGCTGGATGTTGTTTTAGCCACGTCGGTTCCGGAGCAAAAGCCGGTTTAGGAGACTTTGGATGGGGCAGGAAACTCATTGATTGGGATGTGAAACTGCCGGCTCACGGACTGGTTGCATCATACGGAGGCCGCGCCCACCCCAGTTCCGGCAATGCAAAAAAAGTCGCGATAAGGGACGTGTCGCGACGAGTTTGACACCCGTGGTAAGCGTTGAGAGGAGGTAGACCCTCTTCTAATCTGTCCGATTTTGAAAGCTATAGTTCTTGTGCTCGTGGGCGGGGAAACCGGCGGCACTCCGTATTTGTGTTTGTATTTCCTTATTCAGTTCTATTTGCGACTCAGTCTTCATCGAAATACCTCAGGGCGGAACCATTCCCCCCTTCCCCGCGAAATGAAGGTAGAGGCTTACAGTACGCCAATCTGTTCAGCCACTGCTCTCATCCTCAGACCCAGCAGCCACTGCCTCCCCTCACCCCAACATAATAATTAGGGCTAAAGACACAAGCTTTCATGAACTGCAGCTCATTTCATCAGATCCGTACTGTGATCTGCATCTATATAATAACATCTGATGAATTAAGGTGCAGAAAAAAAATGTGATGCAATCCAATTTGTTAATGTGCTACCAGTCTGTTTGGCTACCATATATTAGCAAGGCTCACTATCCAGGCTGATAAATAAGAAATTTTCTAAAGCAATCAGAGCCAGACCCTCTGTGGGCCATGACTCTGAAGTTCATTCTTTAATCTATTTCTGTTATGATATGGTGCACTATTTGCAAACTCAGGCAATCTGCAAATTTATTTTGGAGAAAGCTGTCTTACCTATACTGACATCAATTATCTGTGTGGATTATCCCATTGGCTGTGAGGTCGCTCTGTTCCAGGCTTGGTCTCTTCATATGTTATCTTTAGTGAAGCATGAAAACCAGGGTTTGCATATCCTGCATCAGATGAGGAGAGGACATCTTTCTCCTTCTGTCCTGGTCAGTTTTTACAGAGGCATGATTGAGAGTGTTTTAACAAACTGCATCACTGTTTGGTTTGGTGGTAGGTAGTAGTACCTCACCCCTTTATGGATTACTGCCTTGTCGTGGCGAAGGGGCTTGCGTAATTCAATGAAGCTGTGAGCTATGCCATGCAGGGCCACCCAAGACAGACAGGTCATAGCAGAGAGTTCTGACAAAATGTGATCCACTGGAGAAGGAAATGGCAAACCACTCCAGTATCTTTGTCATGAAAATCCTATTGACAGTACTAAAAGGCAAAAAGATATGATGCTGGAAGATGAGCCCTCAGGTCGGAAGGTATCCAATATGCTACTGGGGAAGAGCAGAGGGCTAGTACTAGTAGCACCAGAAAGAATGAAGCGATTGGGCCAAAGCCGAAAGGACGCTCAGCTATGGATATATCTGGTGGTGAAAAGAAAATCCGATGCTGTAAAGATCTTTTCTCCATAGGAACCTGGAATGTAAGATCCATGAATCAAGGCAAGCTAGACGTAGTCAAACAAGAGATGACAAGACTGAACATCGACATCTTAGGAATCAGCGAACTAAAATGGCAGGAATGGGTGAATTTAACTCTGATGACTATCACGTATACTACTGCGGGCAAGAATCCCTCAGAAGAAATGGAGTAGCCTTCGTAGTCAATAAAAGAATAGGAAAAGCAATACTGGGATACAATTCCCAAAATAACAGAATGATCTCAGTTCGAATCCAAGGCAAACCATTCAATATCACAGTAGTCCAAATCTATGCCCCAACCACTGGTGCTGAAGAGAATGAAATTGACCAGTTCTATGAAGCCCTACAGCACCTTATAGAATTAACACAAAAAAATGATGTCTTTATCGTCATGGGGGATTTGGAATGCTAAAGTAGGAAGCCAAAAGATAACCAGAGTAACAGGCAAATTTGGCCTTGGAGTACAAAATGAAGCAGGGCACAAGGTGATAGAATTTTGTCAAGAGAATACGATGGTCATAACAAACACTCTTTTCCAACAACCCAAAAGACGGCTCTACACATGGACATCACCAGACAGTCAACACAGAAATCAGATTGACTATGTGCTCTGCAGCCAAAGATGGAGAAGCTCTATACAGTCAGTAAAAACAAGACCAGGAGCTCACTGTGGCTCAGATCATGAGCTTCTCGTTGCAAAATTTAGGTTTAAATTGAAGAAAGTAGGGAAAAACACTAGGCCACTCAGGTATGAACTAAATCATATTCCTGATGAATATATAGTAGAGATGACAAATAGATTTAAGGAATTAGATCTGATAGACAGAGTGCCTGAAGAACTATGGACGGAGGTTCGCAACATTGTACAAGAGGTACCAACTAAAACCATCCCAAAGAAAAAGAAATGCAAGAAAGCAAAATGGCTGTCTGAGGAAGCTTTGCAAATAGCTGAGGAAAGAAGGGAAGCAAAAGGCAAAGGAGAAAGAGAAAGATACACCCAATTGAATACAGAATTTCAGAGAATAGCTAGAAGAGATAAGAATACCTTCTTAAATGAACAGTGCAAAGAAATAGAAGAAAACAACAGAATAGGGAGGACCAGAGATCTCTTCAAGAAAATTGGAGATATGAAGGGAATGTTTCATGCAAAGATGGGCATGATAAAGGACCAAAATGGCAGGGACCTAACAGAGGTAGAAGATTAAGAAGAGGTGGCAAAACTACACAGAAGAACTATACAAGAACGAGCTTAAGGTCCCAGATAACCACAATGGGTTGGTCACTGACCTTGAGCCAGACATCCTAGAATGTGAAGTAAAATGGGCCTTAGGAAAGCTGAGCAACAACAAAGCTAGTAGAGGTGACAGTATTCCAGCTGAGCTATTCAAAATCTTAAAAGACGATGCAGTAAAAGTGCTACACTCAATTTGCCAGCAAATTTGGAAAACTCAACAGTGGCCACAGGACTGTACCAGAAGTACAGGCAGGATTTCGAAGAGGCAGAGAAACTAGAGATCAAATTGCCAACATACATTGGATCATGGAGAAAGCTAGGGAGTTCCAGAAAAACATCTACTTCTGCTTCATTGACGATGCTAAAGCCTTTGATTGTGTGGATCACAACAAATTGTGGCAAGTTCTTAAAGAGATGGGAGTACCAGACCATCTTATTTGTCTCTTGAGAAACCTATATGCGGGTCAAGAAGCAACAGTGAGAACCGAACACGGAACCAATCAAAATTGGAAAAGGAGTCTGCTGTATACTGTTGCCCTGCCTATTTAACTTATATGCAGAGCACATCATGAGAAAGGCAGGGCTAGATGAATCAAAAGTTGGAATTAAAATTGCCGGGAGAAATATCAACAACCTAAGATATGCAGATCATACCACTCTAATGGCAGAAAGTGAAGAGGAACTAAAGAGCCTCTTGATGCGGGTGAAGAAGGAGAGTGCAAAAGTTGGCTTGAAACTCAACATTAAGAAAACCAAATCATGGCATCCGGCCCTCTCAATTCCTGGCAAATAGATGGGGAAGAAATGGAGGTAGTGACAGATTTTATTTTTCTGGGCTCCAAGATCACCTCAGATGGGGACTGCAGCCAAGAAATTAAAAGATGCTTGCTCCTGGGGAGGAAAGCTATGGCAAATCTAGACAACATACTAAAAAGCAGAGACATCACCCTGCCAACAAAAGTGCGTATAGTCCAGGCCATAGTTTTCCCAGTTGCAATATATGGATGTGAAAGTTGACCTTAAGAAAGGCTGAGCGACAAAGAATTGAGGCCTTTGAACTATGGTGCTGGAGAAGACTTTTTGCTGGGTCAGTCCTAGAAGAGATCAACCCTGACTGCTCTTTAGAAGGCCAGATCCTGAAGTTGAAACTCAAATACTTTGGCCACCTAATGAGAAGGAAGGACTCACTGGAGAAGGGCCTAATGCTGGGAAAGATTGAGGGCAATAGAAGAATGGGACAACAGAGAACGAGGTGGCTGGATGGAGTCACTGAAGCAGTAGGCGTGAACTTAAATGGACTCTAGAAGATGGTAGAGGACAGGAAGACCTGGAGGAACGTTGTGCATGGGGTCACGATGGGTCGGACACGACTTCGCAATTAACAACAACAAAGTAGTACCTCAGATAGAAGGACCATACAGAGAGTGGTAAGGATAGCTGGGAAGATTATAGGACGCTCGCTTCCCATGATTCAGGATACTGCTTATAAGCACTATGTGCTTAGAGCTCGAAGCATTGTTAGAGACTCCACATACCCACTTCATGGTCTGTTTCTGTTGCTCCCCTCTGGGAGGAGATTTCAAGGTATTTATAGCAGAACTATTAGATTCTGTAACAACTTTGTTCCTTATGCCATCAGTCTTGTGAATTTGCAGGATTCTTCCCCCCCCATCATATATATACTTGAACTAGACTTTGTCATATATGTGGGGATATGTGGGGATATGCCTAATGGTATTTTTTTCAGAGTTGAATGCAATGAAATTTTAAAGTATGCTGATTAATGTATATTTAAAGTGACAGTAAAGTTTTTCTTCTATTCACTCTATTCTTCCCTGCTTCTTGAATTATTGGGTTACAATAGAACACATGAGAGTTGCAGTTCAATAGAGATCATTGGGGTTGTAGACAGCTTCCATTTTGATCTCTATTTCCTCAAGAATTTAGTTAGAATGGAAGTGTCAGCAAAGATAGTGACTCATTCTAAATTTATACGTATAAAGAAAAATGGAAAAAAGCAAAACATTACTGGCAGCTATTTTTGGGTGACAACTACTATTTTATCTAACTTTCGCAATGATGGCTAGGAGCTAAACAACATGCAGGGTATCAAACAATCTGGCTATCATTTTACTACACCGAGAGTTATAAAAAGTTCCTTACTATACTGAGAGTTATAAATAGTTCCACTAACTGAATATGGAAATTTTCCTGATAGCTTCTGGCATCTATTATTTCACTTGAATAATAAAGCCTAAATGCATCATAGCATTTTAAGAGACAAAATGTGAAGCATTAGAATAACAATAATAGAGTTGGAAGGGACCTTGGAGGTCATCTAGTCCAACCCCCTGCTCAGGCAGGAAATTCTATACCATTTCAGACAAATGGCT